AAAAATAAATTACAAAAAAAACCAAACAGATATACCAGGCATGGTGACATACGCCTTTAACCCCAGTACCCAGGAGGCAGAGGCAGATGCATCTCTGCAAATTTGAAGCCAGCCTGGTCTACATAGTGATTTCCAGGCCACTCAAAGCTACATAGTGAGATCCTGTCTAAAAATAAAGTACACCAAATGCTTAATGAATTGAATCTTGGGGGTGTTTCTAGAAACACTCACCTGTGTAGGGACCCATGACCTCACGACAGCTTCAGTTCTGCACCCCGCTCCACTCGGTCCCTGCATCAGTTCCAGTGCACACCACCTGAAACGCCTTGGTTCAGACTAGTGTCTTAGGAACCACAGCGTTCCTAATGTACACAATTCTCCGCTCTCACAGAGACATGATGGCTTCCTCAGAGTAAACTAGGACATTTTTTTTTTTTTTTTAATAATTTTAGCCAGGTGATAGCGGCATACACTTTTAATCCCAACACTAGCGAGGTAGAGGCAGGTGCATCTCCAGGCCAGCCCAATCTACACAGCAAATTCCAGGACATCCAGGGCTATACAGAGAAAAACTTTCTGCAAAACCCAAAAGTCTTAAACAGCGGTGGTGGCGCACGCCTTTAATCCTAGCACTTGGGAGGCAGAGCCAAGCAGATCTCTGTGAGTTCAAGACCAGCCTGGGCTACAGAGCGAGATCCAGAACAGACTTCAAAGCCACACAGAGAAACTCTGTCTCGAAAAACCAAAAAAAGAAAAAAAAAATAACTTAAACAATAACAAAAAAAAAAAAAAAAGAACAAAGGATTAAAATCACTTCATGGGCTCTTTGTGGTTTTTTGCACTGAGGTTTGAACTTAGGGCCCCTCACAGAATAGGTAAGTACCTCACTGCCAAGCCCACACCCAGCCCTTTCTTTATCAAACTAGGACTTTTAATGTGCTGTGCTGTCAGGCCTCAGCATGCATAAAGTTAGAATAACTCTGGGTTGTATTAGAGTGTCTAATTTCAAATTATCAACTTTCTTTTCTTTTTCTCTTTCTTTTTTAATTTTTAAAATTATTCATTCATTCATTCATTCATTCATTCATTCATTCATTCATTCATTTATTTATGAGACAGGGTTTCTCCATGTAGCATTGGCTGTCCTGGAACTCCCTCTGTAGACCAGGCTGACCTCGAACTCACAGAGATCCGCCTGCCTCTGCCTCCTGGGTGCTGGGGTTAAAGGCGTGCGCCACAGCTGCCTGGCTGGCTTTATTTTTATAAAAAATTGTTCAGAGAAATTTGTCTTGGGATTAGGACCAATTTCTGAATTGGCCTTATGCACACTTTTGCTCTCATATACTATGTATTTATGTGAAGTGGCACTTTCAGCATTGACCTTTATAAAATCAAAATGTTTGACCAAAAAAAAAAATTTTTTTTTTGAGCTGAGGATTGAACCCAGGCAGGGCCTTGCGCTTGCTAGGCAAGCGCTCTACCACTGAGCTAAATCCCCAACCCCTAAAAAAATTTTTTTAACTCTTAAAAAAAAGTTGAATGTTCAGCCAAGATTTCCTTCTTTTATATTTTAATGTTATGTGTATGCGTGTTTAACCTGCATGTATGGGTACCATGCATATGCTCGGTGCCCACAGAGGTTAGAAAAGGTGTCAGATACCCTGAACCGGTGTTACAGATGGTTGTGAGCTGCCATGTTCTGGGAACCAAACCTGGGTCCTCTGGAAGAGCAGCCAGTGCTCTTAACCACTGGGCCATCTCTTCCACCCCTATAGGATTCTCTTGACTGGACTGAGATGGGAATACCCACTCTAAGTGTGGCAGGCACCATCCTACGGGCTGGGGGCCTGGACCGAATAAAAAGGAGAAAGCACGCTGAGCCCTGTGTCTCTTTTTGCTTCTCCTGTGGATGCCGTCTAAGCGGCTGCCTCGAGCCCCTGCAGCCATGCTTTCCCACCAGGACGGACCAGACCTTCACCTGTGAGCCAGATAAAACGTCCCCCCTTAAGCTGTATTTATCTCAACAATGGGGAAAGGAACTAAGGCAGTTGGAGACGTGGCCTAGCCACTTGAGACAGAACAAGGGAAGGAAGGAGGCCCTGTGAGCCCTGAGCTGGGAGTCCCCACACAGATGACCCCAAGGGTGAGGCTTCTCAGTATTAAAGTGGCTTCCAGCTGACAGGCTGTCTCATGGGGACAATTCAGAGGCTAAATGGACGCCCCAGTCTGAGAGCTCAAGGCCCACTGAAGCTCCTTCAGCAGAGCATTCTGTATTCTCTCTCTCTCTCTGTGTCCTCTTTCGTGTGCCCTGTGAGTAACAATGCCCCCAGATGTGGGCCCCGAGGTCTGCAGCACCGACGAGCTGAGCTGCCTGCCCACCATCCCCAGCACCCCCAGGCTATTGTCTGCCAACCCTGTGGTGAGTGCTGGGCCGCAGGGGCCCTGTGAGCCAGGGCACTGGGAAGGGATTAGAGGTCCTGCACTGCCTTGCTTCGCTCTCTTGCACAACGGTTTGATCAAAGACATTCCTGGGATGACAGCCCTGAGCAAGAGAGGCCAGCTCAGCTCAGCCAAGGGTACTGCATCCCATCAGTACTGTGCTGTGCCCATGTGGGGTCCTTGTATACAAGCCTGTCCACCTCATGTTAACCAGCCTGTGCACCCCACACTGGACACACATAGGCTGTCACATCAGACCCAGTACAGGTTTGCCTGGCCAGCTGGTCGTGCCAGCTCCCAACACCGGCCTTGTGTGGCCTGCACAGCCGTGCCACCAAACCCAGAGGCCAGGTCCAGTCCTGTGGAGCCTGAGAGGCGTTGTCTGCCCCCTGGGCCGCCATGGCAAGGGCTCTGGGCACTGCCTGGAGGACACCCAGTCCCACTCCTCTGCCTTGTGTCTCACCCTAGGAGTCCTCAGCCCCCACTGCTGGCATTTTGTGGGCCCCCGGAGCCCAGATACTCTGTAGGGTCAGCGAAGCTGGCTTGCTTTCTAGACAAAGTGCAGCAGTTGGGCTGGCCTGAGCAACAGGCTAACTTCCTTACACTTAGTCCTCGGATGTGGAGGCAGGAGGAGAGGCCAGAGTCACCTGTGTCACCTGTGTAACGTGATGCAGAAGCTTCACAGAGGCCACACTCACCTCGAGCCCCCTAGGACAAGCAGAAATGAAGGTCCAGGCAGGTCCAGGCAGTGAAGTAACCTAGAATGGGGAGCCAGGGCCAGTTGTCAGTGTTCAGGGAGCTGAGGCGCAGGCACAGAGGCCAGGCAGGTTCAAGACCTTGGCCTCCCTGAGAGGGGTGGGATGGCTCAGCAGGATGGTAGGAAGCTTGGCAGAGAATGGAGAGAACTGGACTTGGGCTTCTGAGAAAGCAGTTGGGTGGGCTAATTCCCGGAGTCTTTGTTTCGGAGGGTCCTCAAAGAATGTTGTACCATCACCCTATGAATAGGAGTGTCACATTCTCCCCAGGGGATCTACCCTCCAGTGTTATCAGTAAAATTTGAGGGTTAGAATCAGAGCCTCTCTATGGCCAGTGCTATCTGGGGTTACACTGCTGAGCCAAGGAAAGAGGCCTGGATGTCAGGCACAGCTGGGCACCAGAGACCATTGGATGAAGAGACAAGCCAATTGTACCTTTAGAGACCGCACCATGGTGTGAGCACTCTGCCTTCGATGGTGATGCTTGACCATTCCAACTGGGTGTCCTTCCATGACCACCCTTGATAGGCGGTGGTGGGAAGCAGAAGCCTGCCTTCCTGAGTGTGTATGCTGAGCCCCATGCTATTTGTGTCTGCCTCCTTAGGACCACTCTGCTGCACATGTGCCAGGCTGCTTCATCCCAGCACATTTTATTCTGTCTCTCCCATACTGTCCTTCCCATCAGCCCATCTGAACATAAGCTTGCTCCACAGTGCATCCAAGATCCAAGGGGAAGGCAGCTCTTCCACATCAGTGCCCTTTGGCCTGTTCCTGGAATGCTGAAGTCCCCATGTCCTCTCTCCTGGATGATGTAAGGCTGTGGGGAGAGATCTGCCGGTTCCTGGGTCCCCAGCCTTGTTTATAACAGGCTCTGATGCTCAGATGGAGCTGGGCTGCCAAAATACCTTTCTGGACCCTGCCCTCAGGGGGACTGTGCCTTCATAAGCCACCAGAGGGGACACTGGAGTCTCCTTTGGCTCTGATGTTCCCTTAAACTCCCATGGGGTAGGTCACCTGGCAGGGGCTTCACCTGCTTTTGGGTCACTGTGGGTCTCCCCACCAAGTCCCTTTCTGCTTTCATCCTCAGGTCGGCCCATTCAGGCCAGGTGTCAACTACATCCCCACATTCCAGAAGGGCAGGGACCAGCCTGGCACCAATACAGCCGACCTGAGATCTAGAGGCCACCTTGGAGATGATGCCTAAAAGGGAAGACCTGGGTCTTCAGGTGGCTTCCAGACGGTTGCATGGGGTGATGGCAGTGTTAGGGAGCGTCATACCACCCACTCCCCCCGGGTTGGGAAACAATGACAGTCATAAGCAACTGCCACCCAGAGGACGTCAAAGGAGTCCACCCAGGCCACTCAGGTCCCCAGGAACTGTGTGAAAGGCCACCTTGGGCCTTGGCCCTAACACTAAGCATCGCTCTCTGGGCACTTGGCAGCACCTAAGGATGGTGATTCACCCAGAACAAACACCCATTTGCGCCAGACAAGGGGCAGTGAACGCGGCCTCTGTTGATCTTCCATCGGCAAACATGCAGGAGGGGGAGCTGGCAGCGACAGATGCAGAGCGGCTTCTGATCAGTGGCGGCCGCTGGCCTCCCTGACGCCAGAGGCTGCCACCCTGGTCCGCTGCCACCTGCAAACACCCTTGCCTCTGGGAATCCCAGGTTGATGCCAGGGTCAGAGATGCCACCAAACACTCTGGGATGCAGAGGACAGGGTGGCCCCACATGGCCATGGCATCAAAATGGTACACGACCCACTCCAATCTCCAAGGCCCAGAAAATACAGGCAACACTATGCTGGGATTTTACCAATTTTATTTCTAGACTTTTTATGTCTTTTTTTGTTTTCTGGACCATGCTGGTCACATGTCCGTGCTGGGAAGCGCCATGGTGTGTCAACCAGAAATACACAAACCCAACCTGGCCACCAGCCAGAGCCCCTCAAAGCCTTTCATGTCACAGGGCAGACTCCGTGGACCCACCACCATGAACCCAGTGGCCCTGCCTGGTTCAGATGCCTCAGCTAGGCTGGTGGTGACCGTGGAGGTGACCATTTTGGTTTGGCAGCTAGCTAGGGAATTTGGAGGCCCGCAGCACTGGGGCTGGCTTTGCCAAGGCTGAAGTCTTTAAATTAGCACAATGCTGTAATTAACACAAAACAAAACAACAGAACACTAGAACCTAACAGAATACATGATGCACCGGAGACTCAGAACAAATTCCTCCGGGCCCAGCAGCATGGTGGCATGCACAACAGGCCGCTACAAAAATAACAATATTGATAATTAACAAAGAAAAATAGAGTTGTCCCGACTGCTGTGATGCTCTATGTCCCAGATCAAATGAAAGGCCCAGCCTGACAGGTGCAGGGGGATGATCCCCAGCAGACCAGTCCCAGGGTCTCTGGAGGCAGAGCACCTGCCTGCTAGGCCCCTGCATGGCTAGGTGAAACACGAGGTATTGTGAACAGGAACCTGGTTGTTGTTGTTTTTTTTGGAATACAGCGGTAATCACATTAAGCCAAAATTGATCACAATTTAAAAATTACGGAAAAAAAAGGGCATCTGTAAATACAATCTTCTATGAGGAAATTAAAACTTGAACATGGCAGTCTATGACATTGTAAAAAAAACAAAACAAAACAAAACTGACCCTCCAATAGCAGCGAAAACAATGTGAAAGATACAGAGCGACGCGAATCTGGTTCTGAACGTCTGGGATGTTGGGAGTCATTGGTAGCAGCGCTGTGTGGAAGGAGCCGCAGCCTGTCCCGTGTGGTCCCTACCCTCCACACTTCCTCCCTCCCGTCCTCTCTCCAGCCTCCCTCTCCGACCTCCCTCAACACTTCCTAAATAGAAAAGCACAGAGCCAAGGTGTACAAATTACCTACTGTTGTGGGGGTGGGGGCAAGAATGTGCCGGAATCAAACTCCTTTGGGATCCCCTAGTTTCCCTCAGTTTGGATGGCTCTCCAATGGGGTTGTTTGGGTTTGGAAAGTTAAGCAAACCGAATGCCCGTCCTTATATGGTTTTTGAGGATCTGCTCTCCCCCCACTCCCAATAAAAGACCAATCTCTCAGACATGGCATTGAACCTTCGCCACCAAGGGCGGAAGGTGTGCTCTTGAATCAAGGGAAATCACATTGCTTTAAAAATCACACTGGCCATGGGCAGCCTTTCCAATAAATACTCTTCTGTAACCTTAAGTATAAATTAGACATTTTAGTGTTTAAAAGCCTCCTATGTGAAAGACTTCCAGAATCTCCTCCTCCAAGTAATGCTATCACAGTTCCTACTTCCAAACACCAGCTGGCACCAAAGGATCCCTTCAATCCAACTTCTCTGTAGGACAGATCCTGGTGGTGCAAGAACAGAGTTCTCTCTTCTTGACCCAACAAAACTTCCCAAGCACCCCATGCGACCAGCCCCACCATGTCACACATCCATTGTGCGGCCATCTGAATGAGTGTGTGGCTATCCCCCAACCATCCCATTAGGAACCGCCCCCCACCCCACCCCCACACCAGCAAAACTGCCTCCAGCTAGCTGACCGAAAGTGCTTTGAAATGGAATGGTTTTGGAACACAGAGAAGGAAAACACAACCAAACAGAACAAACCATACACACAAAAGAAAAGCTGTGGGTTTAACCTGATGTGAGTAGGCTGCAGGGCCGCCAGGCCAAAACCAGCACCTCTTTAAACAGGAACTACAAAATAGGAAGATTACAAAAATAGAACATATGATGTCACTGTCTCACCCCCTCTCTACTGGAGCACACTGCGTAGAGTGGGGCACCTGCTGCCGTGTGGCGGGCACTGTGAACCTGCAGGTTGGGAGAGGGCACAGATGAGCCCTGGTGCCACACGCCGTGAGACCGCTAGAGGTCGCAGCGGCCATCAATAAGGTGAAGAGGTCGCCCCATCCCTGGGATAAAGCACAGGAACCAGGTGACAGGTGGCGGTGGCACTGAGCAAGCAGGGAGTGAGGCTGAGGCCCGCGCCAAAGCTGTGCCTTTCAGCAAAGCGAGTGCATCTCTACCTAAAACTCCCTTCTACTTAACAACGGCTTTCTCTATTGGCCTTTTTTTTTCCTTTTTTTAAAGCAATTTTTCTTAAGCTTTTTAAACACATAAAATCAAAATCCTCCTGGAGACTTCCTGTGTGTTAATCCTACTCTTACAACAGACAAGCACATTAATAGGAAACTAGTTGATTACTGGGGTATAAAATCCTAAATTGGTAGCATCCCCCTCCTCCCTACACTCAGGGTGATGCAAATTCTATCTCTCTCTCTCTCTCTTTAACAGCTTTCAGGTATTTTTTTTTTTTTCTCTTTTGCTTAAGTCAGATAGAAAGGAGAAAGATTAAAGAAAAACAACCAACAAAGAGAACAAAACTTCCCCTTCTGGTAACAAATGTCCCCAAGAGGGACGTCGTTAGGAGCACCCCGGGCTGGCTCCTGCCTCATCGCGGGCTGCCACTACTTGGTGGCGCCCGCCTGCCCGGCGGCCTTCAGATGTCCACGTCTCGCACGTCGGTGGGTGTGCAGGCCAGGTCAGTCTCTCCCTCCGCTTCCCCCTCCTCTTCGGTGGCCTTGGGGTCAACGTTCTGCTGGGCTTGGCGCAGGCTAGACTCCAGAAGGGCTTCAATCTGTTCCTGGCAGGCGCGGAGGCAGTCCTGGAGAGGCGGGCGGAGATGGAGGGGGTCCTTGTTTAGCCAGAGGCTAGTGGCCAGGGCCTGGACCTGCGAGGCAGGCTTTGCTAAGGGCAAGGCTTGAAGAAACTCCTCGAGCCATCCCCAAATCCAGCGAGCAGTGAGGAGCCGCAAAGGACCAGAAAGCGAGAGCATCATCACCTTTGGTTCCCAGCCTTCAGCCTGGACACCTCTGTCCCGTGCCATGGGACAGTTGGCTCTCGACTGTAGGACACTTACCTACTTGTCCACCCCAGGTCTACCCAGCAGAAATTCCTCCCTGGGCTTCCCCACAGCACTGCCTGACATATCCCCCTTGCTTCAACAGGGAGGTCCAGGGAGGAGAACCCAGGCCGGCATGAGCCCGTGACAGGTTCTGCATGGCCGAGGGAAAGCACCTCCGCCTCTCTACGTCCCTCTTTTGGGGCTGTATTTTGTACTCCCCACAAGGAGCACCTATCTCTCCCTCACAGCCTTCTGCCCCTGGGTGGCCTCTGAGGGAAGCCAGCTCCAGTGTCACCATTGGAGCCCGGAAAGCATTTCACTAGGAATGAGACTCATGAACTTAAGTCCTGCCTAGCTGGGATGAGGCTAAGGCACTGCCTACATTCCTCAAGCCAGAACCCCTGGAGAGCCCCCACATTCAGAACTTGTATATTGCTCCCCTTTTGTTTGATGGATACCGTGGCTAAGGAGGGTGTGGCAGGGCAAATGGCCCCATTTTACAGAAGGGGCAAACTGAGGCCCAGGTAGCTTGGTATGGATCCACAGGCACCCTTGAATCCCTCTCTGAAGCCCATGGGCTCCCACCTGCTCACATACCCTACCCTCCGTTCTCAGGAGCCCTAGATGCTGCATGCTGAGGTATACTTGAAGGGTGTAGGAATCAGGGTCCCCATGGCTGATGTCAGAAGGACAGAGTCTGTCACACATGGAAGCCTTCCACATGCCCAGTGGCTCTGGCCTCCATTGAACCCCCAGCTGAGTCCAAGCCAGAACTGGACTTTTGTCTGTCCTTCCTGTATGCCAGCCTGCAACGTCCTCGAGGACACCTTCGTGCCTAGAGCTCCATCAGCCATATTCCTCAGTGAGAAGGTATTCACATGTGGCCTAGTGCACAGCCCCCCTCACACACACTAAGAAAGTTCTAGAGTGTGTCTTCTGTAGGTAAAAGGTCTACACCAGAGTCCTCTGTGGACTCCACCCCCAAAGGCTGCGCTGAGGGAGATGTGGTCCTACTGTAGCCGGGCCAGACGTCAGCTTCACCTGCCAATCACATCATGCCCCCGCCCCCTGCCTTTAGGATCCATGGCTTCTGGAAGCTCCCTAGACCTCAAGCCTGGGAAGGGGCTAGTGAGGGAGCCCAGGGTCGGCTCCCCTTGCAGTAGAGCTCCACGCCGCCCCCCACCCCCGCCCCAGCAGGGTTCCCTGGCCCTTGCCAGATGCGGCAGCCTCCCTTCCATGAGAACCACTCACCGGGTCACACTTGATCACTCTGGAAAGAAAGTGCGTTGTGCAGTAGCAGGACAGGAAGTTGTTGGGGCTGCCCAGGTTCAGGCCCTGCATCGCGGCCACCACGCTCCCAGCAGCCACCATGGAGGGGGGGTTGGAAATGAACTTCACGTCTGCAGCAGAGAAGGACGGAGGTGGCTGTGAGCAGGGACAGCTACAGGCCCGCGATTCAGCTCCCACCCAATTAATTCTCAGCGCGGCCTCAACCTGTCCTCCAAGTCTCCCTATGCGAGCATCAACTCCAGCTCCTTTGGAGACCCCTAGGTGGCGCTAGATGCACATAGTGCTCCGGGTAGGTCTGCGACCCCCAGTGCTAGGGAGGATTAAAGAGTTCCAGGCCAGAGCTTTGGCTCAACTTTTAGTAAGGCCTTGTCTCACTTGAAAAAGCTGAGCGGCTGACCCTGGCCTGGGTTCCATCCCCAGCACCTCAAGCAAACACCAGGGCAGAGTAGGTCATGGCCTGCTTGTTCCTTTAAGCACTTCAAAGTTTAAGAGGGCAAAGTACAGAACCCAAGGTGCAGGCTCTTAACCCTTTAACCCAGAGCTAGCTTTCCTGGTTCACTGATGCCAGGTTAGGGAAGAGGACATGTGACCCCAGACCAGGTAAACCAGTTGGAAGTAGCCCCAGAGGGGGCTGGGAATAGTCACCCCAGACTCCAGGCCAGGGTCCCTAGTGAAGGAAGCCTCCCTCACCCACAGTCCTGGGGACTCTCATATGTACAGGCCCCAGGTGGGAGGTAGTCTGTCCCACTAGTAAATGTTGGGGTCATGTTCCCCCACAGTACTGCAGCAGGGTGTTATTTAGGACTTTGTCTGGGGTCACCAGCTGTCCCCCCCGCCACCCAAATGGACTCAGCATCCGCAGTGGTGTGCCACACTGATGGAATGCCTCTCCACCAACAACACCACCACTCAGCTGCTTTCCTGTCACATCCAACAAAGTGGTGACAAGGACAGCCACTCACTTAGCCTGCGAATCGGGGGTTCCAGGCCAGAGGACATAAGAAAGAAAAGGTGTCAGCGCCCATTACCTCCTCTTGCGTCACCCGGTGACCGGGGACAGGGAGGCTTGAAGAAAATGAATGGGAATCGCCAGGGGAGAGCACTGTTATTGTGAGGCCCCTTGGAGACCACCCTGATACAGTCTACAGCTTTGGGTCTGTTGAAGGTCAGAGGTACCAAGAAGGGGCCGGGAAGAAGAGCAGCCACAGAGAAGGGGGACAATACCTCCAGGTGGCACCGAGGACTCAGCTCAGTCCAGTGAACCAAACTTGCTATGGGACAAGTTCAAATCAGAGACCCCCTCCCCAGAGAGAGAAAAACTCCAACCAGCAGCTGGCACATGGACCGGAGCCCCAGCCCATTCCCAAGTGCAGTAGCATGATCCATTATGTCCTGTAACAAGTCCTAACATCTGCTTCCTCACACTGCCTGGTTGCTGCTGGCAGAGTCGTCACCCAGCTCAGTGACATGGTTGACACTCACCAACACCCTCCACCTAGCTCAGTTCCCAGTGTCTGAATCCACACAAGGGTACACTCTGGCCACCTGTACATGCCCGTGTGACCAACCCCAACCTAGGTCAGTGCACTGTTTACACGAGCAGGACCCAGGTCTGGGGGTATCCAGAAGGGAGAAGAAAAGTCATATCCTCCCATCTCCTGTAAGGGGAAACCTTGCCACATAGATGGCAGATCTCCCGGCCTTGACCTCTGGCCTCTTTCCAGAGTGACCTCTTTGTGACAGAAGAGCTGGTTACTCCTCCAGGGGGACAAAGCCTCCAGGCCCAGAACATTGGCCTACTGCAGTTCACCAAGCCGCGCTCCACCTCCACCTGTCTTTTGGGGGCTCTTAGTGGACCCTATCATAGACAAAGGCCATACAGTAAGCTGGGTCCAGCCACACCCACGATGCATCAATACTTGCTGGCTTCCCTGCCAGCATCCAGGGGTCCTGGGAGGGGCACTTTGCTGCCAGAACCGTCCTGGGGAGGCTGTGCCACCCCATCCCTCATATTATCTCTGGGAAACTCTGCAGCTTCTCCGAAGTCACTTTCAGCTCCATAAAAGGCTTCCTGGAGCCTCCAAGGGCTCTGCTCTCCCCAGAGGAACCCCAGCCAGACGCCTGCCTGCCAGCCAGCAGGGCCACCCCCGCCCCTTAGATCCTTCCAGGCTACTGATGGCCTTGGCATTCCCATCTGCCACCCCCCTTGCTTGGTAGGCCTCTGGAGACGGGCTGGCCCCCTCAGCAGGTAGTTGGGAGGCTAGAATCTCCAAATCTTCACACCCGGCACAGCTGTGCAGAAAACACTAGCCAAGTGGGCTGCCAGACATGAGAAGATGCCACAGAGATGGCAGGTAGGAGAAGACACTGCCTGCCCCTCTTACACCACGCTGCCTTTCGGCCGCCCTACAAGTCACCCAGCCCGAGCTCCAAACAGATGTAGCAACCCAGGCCTGATCAGGGCCACCCGGGGGGAGGGGTCCTAGGCAGGTGGGGGAGAGTGCAGCACCCCCTTAGCGTCTCTAAACCTCCTCGGCGGGGCTTCCAATTAGAGATGGGGAAGCAGCTGCCAGATGTGTATCAGGAACATCCAGAGGCAGCCAGATGTCTATGTGCGTTGCAGCATGTCTGTCTACCCTGAGTTAAGTCAGCCTGTCTACCTGGGGTCTGGGTACAAGGAGGGTCCCTTGGAGGCGCCATGGGGAGGTTCTTGTCTCTCTGCTTCCATTCAGCCCTCCCAGGACTCTGCCAAAAAGAACTGGCCTGTAGCACCCCTGGGGAGTGGGGGGGGGCAGGAATCTAAGCTCCTGAGCTGGTCATCCTGCATGTGGGACGGGGAATGGGGGTCATCTGTCCTGCCCCTGTAAACACTCCTGGCAGGTGGCCAAGACTGGGAGAAGCCAGGAGCCCCCTCCCCCCATAGCTGGCTCCTTGAAGACCCAGGCAGGACAGGAGGTAGGTGGGGGCAGGCAGCCCAGGAGCAGAGGCAAAACCCTTTTCCGAAAGCATGCAGTGGTCACACCGCTACTTGGCGGTGGAAAGCTTGGCACAGGGAGGCTGGGCCATCCAGTTAGGTCTCCAAGGCCCTTCAGCGCGGCTCCTAGCGCCATCTACCCCCAACAAGCTACCTGGACCCTGGGCTCAGAAGAGAGATGTGGGAACCCCCTTTCTAGACGTGCCCGATACCATCCCCTGGTACAGAAAAGACAGCAATAGGCATTAGCCAAGGGACCACAAGGAGTCTGAGATCTCCCAGGAGAGTGGGGGTGGGGGCCGTACCTGTGGCACAGAGAGCCACAAAGGTTTGCGCATGCTTGCGGATGATCTGCTTGTTCTCATCCGCCTCTGGCATTTTGGAGAGGAAGTGTTCGATGAAATCGTGGGGAGTCATGGCAGCCAGGTTCCACTTGAGCTTGTTCACCAGAAGCAGTTCCATTTGCTGCAGAAAATGGAGAACAAGGTCAGTAAGAGGTCAGGCCGGCTGGGGGGGAGGTTTAGAGAGTGGGTTCAACCGGGCACCACAGATAGGTAAACAACAAACTATAGACAGCCTAAGTGGGCCACACGCGCTAGACAAAAAGACCCCCACCGCCAGCGCTGCGGCTCCAGCGCCGCAAGGGGGCGCACACCGTCCACATTTCGGAGTGGCTTCACTGCCAGACATGGTGGGCAGTCCAGGAGGAGAGGGGGCCCACAGAGGTGGAAGGGGTTTGGGATTCTGCCCACTGCCACTTCGGTGTCGTGCAGTGTGGGTGACTTCCATGGGGCTGGAGATGTGACCGAGGCTGGCTGGGCCTCCCATCATTTGCGGCTCCCCACCACCCAGGGGTCGCGTGGCTAATAAGGGATGGCGGGTGGTGGGGTCCTCGGTTACCAGCAACTCCTCGGGCCGGATCGAGTTGTCAGTGTAGATGCACAACTTCTCGGCGGTCAGGGGAATGGTCTCCTTCATCTTGGAGGCTACGAACATGCAGGCGGCCCCCAGCAGCTGCAGGCGGCTCTTCTTCAGGGGCTCCAGCGACAAGAAGCGGTCCAGGTAGTTCATGGCCAGCGGGAAGACCTCCTCTTCACACTTCTGCTCCTCGCAGACCTGCGGGGACCATGACCGTCAACGGCGGGGGTGGGGGTGGGGAGAGAATGAGGGAGGAAGAGGGAGAGGGTCGTGGCTCGATGTGATCCTGCATCCCTTTCCTAGATAGATTACATAGCGAATGAGTGGTGAGGGCGCGGAGAGGGGTCGCCGTGGCAAACTCCCCGGGATGAGCGGGAGCCCAGGACCCACTCACCCTGAAACTGAAAGGGAAAGTCCCTGGGCAGCTGGCGCTGGGGAGCTCAGCAGTGGTGGCCTTGGGGACCCCGGCCCATGTTGGAATTAGAAGGCCGCAGGCCAGGGAATCCCACCGCGGAGCTGGCAGGGCGCCGGGGGTTGGGCGTCGCTCGCGCACGCGAGACACAAAGGTGGCGTCCCAGGCCGCCGCGCCTCATTTCCCAGACGTCATCTTTTCAAAAAATATTTAAAAATATTAAAAAAATAACTAGGTGCCTAAAAACGGCCCGAAAATAACCATCGGGCGACCCTTGATACAACCCGAGGGTCAGGAGCTCGGTGTACGTTGGAGAATGGGCCCCAGCGACTCAAATTCTGGGGGCCCCCCTTTTGCTGGGTGCGGGTGCCTCTGCAAGGGCACCATGCCGCGCTTTAGAAATTATTTTAAAATATTTTGGGGCCCTCGAGCCTCTTACTGAACATCTGAAAATGTGCTTTGGTTCCCCGACTTGACCTGGGTAGGAACCCCCAAGTGCAGACCCGCGCGGACGACGGTCAATCTCGAGCGACTCGGGGGCCACGCGACCTTGCAGACTGGCGTGCTCTCTGGGCCAGGCAGCCTGTGCGGGGGTGCCCAGGGGTCCGCTGCTTGAACAAAGGGTCCCTCCCCCAAATCCCTCGCTATGTCCTATTTAGTGATTCCTGGCTGCCGCGAGGCCCCTCGTGCCTGTCTCAGCGCCCCTGCCGCCGCTCCCCGCCCTGCCCCCAATTATTAACACTTTTGCTTTGCAATAAAGGAGCAAAGATGGCGCATAATACTGGCACGAGCGGCCCTTGCATACGTGTCCGCGGATATTAATTTAAAAATCAAATCTATGCCCCCTCCCCCCGAGCTGGCGGCTACGCGCGGAGGCGGCCACGGCCGAGGCGCAACAGGAATGGGGCGCAAGCGGGGACCACAAAAGGCGCCCAGTCCGCACCCTCTGGGGTGTCCCTAGCACCCTTTGGCACAGTCCTCCCTCGAAGGCACTCCTCCCCGACTGCCCCCTACCAGGAAAAGGAATCCCCATCACCCCAACTCCTCCACTTTCCTCAGTCACAAAGACCCGCAGTATCTATTTATTTTGAAAATCCGGATTCCTAGCAACACACCGGTAAAACTCCGTGTCGGAAAGTTAAGGAGGAAGATGTGGGTGGGAGCAATAAGTTGCCAGGGGATCCTAAGCCCCTGGAGCCCCTTACCTCCAGCATCCAGGTGGCCACGATTTTCCGCATGGACGGCACAATCTCCCTCTGCACGCACTTGAAGTAAGACACGGAGGGCGCGCAGGTCTCCTCGGTCTTGAGCATGGCTCGCAGCACTCGGTCGTTGAGGAGGTTGGTGTCAGGGTACGCACGGCGGATGGTCTCCACTTCGCAGCACAGGAGCTGGTGTTCCATGGCGCGGCCGCCTGGGGAGGGCTGTGGACCTGGTTGGGCTCCGGTGGCTGCTGCTGGCGCGCGCTGCCTCGCGCTCTACTGCCGGTCTCCGGAGCGCGGAGTCTGCTGCTCTCTGCTACTGCGCCGACAGCCCTCTGGAGGCTGCAGGACTTTGCAACTTCAACAAAACTCCCCTGTAGTCCGTGTGACGTTACTGTTGTTAAGCAGAGATCAAAGTTAGGCAGAGAAAGGGAGGGGTGAGGGGGGGAAGGCCGGGGCGGGCGCAGGGGGAGGGGGCTCGGGAGCTGCGAGCCGCAAGGGGACAAGCCCAAAGCACCCCCCCTCGACCTTCGTAGATATGCAAATCGCTCGGACTGCTTCTCTCCAAGCTGGGAAAGAGCGGTGCAAGGGTGGTGGTGGGGGTGTCTTCTTTGCCCAAGTGGGTCCTCCGAGACCTGTGGAGGTGGGGTGGTGCTGGCTCTGGACAGGACAGCTAGGAGGGAGACCAGGCCACACACAAGCCAGGGAAGACTTGGATGGGGGATCCGGCGGACGAAAGGACACCTTATATTCAATCTGGGAGAATGGGCACGTTTCCGAGGACGCCACGAGGGCACCCACGGGCGGACTGACTGCTTAGAAATCCCGGCGTTCCCATCTTCTTTCAATTTCATCAACACGTGTAAAACTCAGGAACTGTTTAACACGTGAAGATGCCGGACGAGCCCTAAGCTCCAGTGCAGGCTCCATCCTGGTGCACTGGGGGTCGTTGCAAAGGGCCAGAGATGTAGCTCTGAACTTCAAAGGCTCCCCAGCCTAGCATGCGCTCGCTCAAAAATAAAATAAAATCTCGAAAATCCCCAGCAACAGCTCAAGATGGTGGCCATTATTTCCTTCATCCTTTCCTCACCGAGGGGGAATCTTCGATTTGCCTTCCCACGGTGACCAGATCATTCTGTCCAGGGTCCTCTAGTGCGGGCGATTTACCCAAGAAAAATAAACCTTTTAAGGAAAGGCTGATACATGATGGGCTCTTTCTTAATTTATTTTTTAAGAAAAATAAATCGGTGCAAGTATTAGTCGCCTTGCCAGGAACCAGACCACCGGAAGCTTTCCGATTGGCTTTGTTGGGGGTGTGGCCGTCCCTCCACCTTTAGAACTGCTGCTGGGGCCGCATCCTTGAGTTCCTGGGGGGCTAGTCAGAATCAAGACAAATGTGTGCATCGATATGACATTTAAGAAAACTTATGGATGTTCGTGGTTACACGAATGGATTCCCAGGCGTCTCTAACATTTAGTCAAATAAAAGTTCCACCACCTTGGCCCATTTAATCCCCTTGTCTTTAAAGTTTTCACAATCTTGACCCCAAGTCAGGCGAACTATTCACATATTTTCCCATAATAGTTTCGTGTCCCCAAGAGTGAATGGACGAAACTGGAAAAGGAGAGCGGGGGGGGGGGGCAAGCTACACGCAAGAAGTAGACCCCCTTATCTTCGGAGCGCATTCCTCCCGATCCCCCTCCCCTGACATTGGGGTCCCTAATATCTAGATCCTGTGGGACAGTGATCCCATCGCAGCTCTGAAGGTGGTGGGTGGCCCGGGCAGTGCGCCCACGCTTGCTCGGGCCACAGGCCCCGCCAAGCCTGGGAGCTTCAGCCTGAGCACGAGGGCGGCCCAGCTGCCTTTTCATTCATAAAATCCCTACCGGGCGGCAGTAAGCATGATTTATGGGGCTGCGCACTATCACCCGCGGCTGAGTGCCTGTGAGCGGAGCACGCGGGCCTGGCCAGGGTGCGCCATCGAGGGCAGCGGGGCATAAAGGGGCTCGCCCACCCGGCAGCACGAGCTCGGGACCCGCAGCCAGCACCCCCACCACCACCACCGCGGGAAAGACCAGGAAACTGGAATTAGCATGAGCCAATCCGGACGCAGCGCTGTTACTAGGCGGACCGGGCAGATCTCCACGAGGAACTTCGTTGATCAGTGCGCTCAGGGACGGGCGCAAAAGTGCAAGTCCGGTTGGCGGGCGTGCAGAGCCGTCCAGGAACCCGTTGGGGGAGGCGCAGGAATTTGGGACCCGGTGGGGAGCGCCCATCCCCCATCCGGGGAACCCCGCTCAGCCAGCTCCGGAGCCCTGGAGAGGGACAGCAGTTCAGGGTTCTTTCCGGGCCAGTTGTTTTAAGAATCTCAGAGAAAGCGTTTGGATTTTTAATTTGTATTTCCCAACGAAAAAGTAATTCAGCACACACTTTTCTCTTGTGATTTTAACTTCTACATTGGCAAAAAACCAACCAAACAAAAAAACCACCACCTCAAAGCAGGAATTGCACGCTCTGGGCTCACTTAAAGTGCTCTGCGCTTATTTTCGGTAACCTTTTGGAGACAAAAGGCCACTCGACCAATCGAGAGGGGACTACGTTATTTGGAAAGAAAATTTCAAAGTAACTTTAATCTCCTTTCCGACTTCCTCCCTCCTCGACCCCTCGCCCCGGGCCAGGGTTCCCGAGAGAGCGCGGACTCTGCGGTAGACTTGCCACCGTCCCTGGCTGTGGGAACTTCATTGAGAGGGGGAAGGGCGCGTGTTCATTGAGGAACCCGCGCCGCCTAGCTCGGGGCGCTGATGGGGAGGTGTGGGCTGGGCCGCAATCCTGAGCCTCTGGCAGCAGCCCCTCAGGGAAAGGAATCGGCAGTGAGCCGACGCACCTAGGTGGGGTCACCTGCAGCCAAATACCTGGCGACAACTTAAAAGGATTTCGTTGCTTCTGTTCCAGTTAGCCATTGTTAATTTAGCCTTTAAGTCGCCTTGGGAAACGCTTCCGAATATTGGCCCCAAGGTTCCGGCATAATGCGGCTCTCCTCCCTACACCCTGAAGGCGTTTTGGGGCGTGCATGGCAGCCCACGTGCTACGCGGCTGCTCCACCTAGGTTACCCTGAGCTGATCCCTAGGTTACCCTGAGCTGATCCCAGGCACCCTTAAGCTAAGGACGGGTGTGTATGCTCAGCTCATCCTGTGCACACCTGGGGCGGCCGTATCCCATCTTCCGGAGCTTGCATTTCCGAGTTAGTTTCAGTCCCCCATATCCAACCCCCGGAGCGAAGCTCCCAGCGCCGAGGAATTAGCTCTAGAGTGGCCAGGCTGGCTCCAGGGACCCCGAGGGTGGAGCTGTAACTTTAGGGAGGGGTGGCTACTCGGTTGGTCTCCAGCTCTCCGAACGCATCAGATGCCCCGAGCAGTCCGAACCCCAAAATCCTTTTGGGATTTGTCGACTTTATTGCTTTGGCACACGCCTCGTCTCAGACTAAAAGGTGGGGAGCGGGCACCCAGTGTGACCTGTGGTCTGGCAGGACCACGTGGCCCAATCGAGGGTGAGCGAGCCCTAGGGCCTGGGGCGCAGCTGCTGGAGCTGGGGGCACCGCGCCTCCGGCATTGGTTCCTCTGCACCCCGAAGGTGGTCAGAGGGGGAGAGTCTCTCTGGCCAGCTTCCTGCAAAACCTTGGCGTCTCCATTCTTCACTTAGGCCAGTGGGGGACAGTGAGTGCTTTAGAGTTCTGCGTGTTCCAGATCTCGGGACACCGGCTGTGGCGGGGCCCGAACAGGAAGGGCAAATTTAGCTCCAGGTTCTCGAAAAGGTCGTCTAGCTTCACATGCTGAGCCCTCCCCGGGGTCCCTGTTCCCTGTGGTGCTTGGTGGCAGGACACGCGGGCGGACCCTAGGCAGGGTTCCGCGGTCCCCCGGGGTCACGGCTGGAAGCGCGCAAGGCCGCACCGCGCATTCCGCGCATTCCCGCCCGGCCGGTGTTTCGCCGCCACGTGGTCGTCCTGCGCGCCGCTTACCGTAAAGTTTGGAGGCGACGCGCAACAGTGGCTCGCGAGCGCCTGCAGAGGCGCCCCCGAGGCGAGCTGTAGATGTGCGCTTCCGGGTAGGTGCCCTTCCACGTTTATAAGGAGCACTATACTGCCCTGGCTCTGCTGGTATGTGTAATAAGGTGACTGACTGACCATCTAAGGAACTGGACTGGTGGTGACTGACGGAGGAAGAAGTCCGAGAGGAGCTTCAGCCTTTGCTCCCGAAGGTTGAATTCTCATCATTCTTCCAAGTTAGTTGGGGCTCAGGCCAAGGCCCTGTTGTCAGGAGGCTCCAACGGACGGTGCGTAGCAAACAGAGAAGTGTCCATAAACCTGTTATAACTTTTTTTTTTAATGAGTTAGAGTGAAGTTGAATAGACAGCTCAGAGCTTCAGAGCACTTGCTGATTTTCCAGAGGACAGGATTCAGTTCCTAGCACCCACATCAGGCAGCTTCCAACCACCTGTAACTCCAGCTCCAGGAGATCCCACTGGACTCTGGGGGTATCTGCACTCCTACATGCACATAGATACACACACTAATAAACGCACACAAATAAACAAACAAATAAATAAATGGAATTTAAAGGTAAGATGCAGTCCACGGAGGAATGACAGGTTCTGGCCTTAACCAATGGGATGGATGCCTGCCTTGGCCACATCAAATTCAGGGAGTAGTTGGACCCTGTAACAGTTAGTTTTAATTGTCAACCTGACACAGCCTTGAATCACCTGGCTAGAGCATCTCAAGAAGGCCTGTGGACATGGTTGTGGGTGATTGTCTCGGTTGACTTAATTGATGTGGGGAGACCCAGTGTGGAAGTGGGGGGACAAATTCCTGAGGCTTGGGTCCTGGGCTGAGAAAGAGTGAGAAAGATAACTGAGCACCCACGCATTCGCATCTCACTGCTTTTGGTGGATGTCATGTGGCCGGTGGCTTCAGGTTCCTGCCACACTGATTTTCCTGCAATAATGGGCTGTAAGCCTGGAATTCTGAGCCCGAATAAGCCTTTTCTCCCCCTTAAGAGGCTTTTTGCCGTGGTATTTTATCACAGCAGTAGAAATGAAGCCGAGACAGGCCTACTGGGGACATGTCTGGTGTGTGACACCCCAGAATCCTATAGGGGTAAGAGATTTTGAGACCTCTCTCTTAGATCACCCCTCAATCCCTGCTTTGACAGATGGCTTCTTTTGCCATCAGGAGCAGGGCAGAAGCTGCTAGTGGACCGAGGGGCTCTTGTGTGCCCCTCGGTGTAGATGGGTTCCAGCCCATGCTCAGCTAAGGGAGCCGTGCCCTCTCCCACGGGATGGAGGAAAAGGCTTTACCAGGTGGCTATTGTCATTTCGGGCATTTAACAGCAGAAAACTGGAGTGCAGAGGGGTGGGTTGGCAGGTTG